TTTTAACGTTTTTAAATATTTAAATTTATATTATTATTATATAGAATTATTATTTGTTTATATTAAAATTATTCCCCAAACACTCATATTTTATGGGCATTCTCTTAGTTCTTTTCAATTTCTTAGTTTAAAAATCTAAGAAAATGCTGTCTTTAATTTCATTAAATTAAGCATTTATTGTAATTTTTTCAAATATTTAATTTTAATAAATTAGATAGAATAATTATTTTTCTATATTGAAAATATTTCACGCAGTTTCTCACTCGCCTTTAGGTCTTTTAAATTTATTAGTTTTAAAACTTTTGTACTATATGAAAATTCTGCTTTAAAATCTATAAACTTTAAGCATTATTTTAATTTTTATAAGTAACATTATTATAATTTATTGAATAAGTTAAATAATATAATTATTTGTCTTTAATAAAAGTAGTTCTTGTATTCTAGGCTCACACTTAGACCTGTTTAATTAGCTTTTGAAATTATTTGTAAACTATTTTGAATATATCATTAAATTGTACTATTATCTCCTTTTTTTAATTAATTATATTTTATATTTTAAAAAGGTAAAATATTATTTTAATTTGGATATCCAAACTTCAACTTAAGGTTGTTAATTTTCCTTCTTATTTTCACTTAAATTATATATTTTCTCTATCTATTTTGTACTTATTAATATTTTGGTTGTTATATTTACCCCTTTTATATTAAAAAAAAAAGAATAATCTTCCCTGATTCCAGGGAATTATTTCTCTGTACAAATTCCTCCGTTTTTTCCCCGTTTTTTGTCGCCTACACCAGAGGCATTGCTGCGTTTTCATATTGCTTCCATTGCCGCTTCTCTTTGGGTTTCCCCTTTATATTTTTTTTCCTGTCTCTTTTTATGATTTCTTGCAACACACACAGACACACACACAACCCTATCTCCTCGGGCTCTTGCCATCCCGACTCTCCAAATATTTTTCTTAAGCTCAAAGTGAAATGGCATAAATCATGTTCAATATTATTTCGCTTTTTATCCGTTCCGTTCGATTCGATTGGAGTCTCGTTTTTCGAGGTGGCCCCCGGGGTTAAGTGATTTTATTTTGTGCGAGATGACAACCCTGGTTGAGGCCAGAACCAGAACCAGGAGCAGGAGCAGAAGCAGAAGCTAAAACTTGTTGCCCCGTTGATTTGATTTTATTGGCAAAAGTATGAAATATGCCGGAGATCCTTGGCCTCGGCAAAGAAATTGCTTTTGCGGTGGGTCCATCGTAATTACCCAAAAATGCCGCAGGTCCTTCCTTCCTGCCTGGCCTGTCCTCTGTCCTGCCCCCGCTCCTACTCCCTGGCACTTGGCATTTACCGAATTACGAGCTGGCATTTAAGCAATACAACTAATTTGTGTTTAAATTCCATTAGCTGGCCGAAAATATATTCGCAGCGGGAGTGATTGGTCCTGGTTCTGCCCAGGGATGCCCTCAAGTGGAAAGATGCTGGAAATCAATCAGCGAGTGCCGTCACGCACAGTGATGAATAGTCGGCGATGGCCAGGAGTTGGAGTTTTGGCCTCGGGGCAAGGCGTATTCCTACGCGAAATCTGTTTCAGTTGTTTGGGCTTTGATTTTTGGGCTGTGTGGGTGTGGGGTGTGGTTGTGGCTATTTGTAATAGTAGGTTCTCAATGTAATATGGTCATACTTTCTTAAAAATCAAATTAAATAAAGTTAATTTAAGCTTTTATTTAAATTTATTCTCCACGAAATCTTTTTCAGCTTTTTGACCTTTGATTTTTGGGATGTGTGTGTGGTGTGGCTGTGGCTATTATTGATAGGAAATATGGCCACACTTAGCCTAAAATAAAGAATTCAAGAATATTGAAAGCAGAGGACACCCTTAATCACAGCTCTCGTTGTAAATTTTCTTACTTATCCGAAATTAAAAATAATTATAAATAATTAAAAAATGTTTTGTTATTTTTAATACATTTTATAGGAATATTTTCTCTTGTATATTTTATGACACCCTGCGTAAGTCAAACGAATAATCGAATTCGTTGGCTAATTTCTCTCAGGGCCTCGAGGCAATGTGCCTCCAAATTCCGGATATTAATTGTCGAGCTCTTGAGAAAATAATTGAAATTCCCTTGAATGTGGATGTGTGTGTTCAATCGGACAAATCGGAATGGTAATGATTCATACTTAAGAGGCCGCCCTTGTTGAGGGTTTTTGTACGCTTTGGAGTATGTAATAATATTATAAGATTAAAACATAATTTTTAACTTAAAATTAGCATGATTCAGGCATGATTTCATGTTAAATTGATGCATGAAATTAATGAACTGTCTTAAATAAATTGATTTTACATTTTAGAAATCGATTTTAGATTTTAAAAATCGATTTTAGATTTTAGAAATCAATTTTAGATATTAGAAATCGATTTTAGATTTAGGAAATCGATTTTAAATTTTAGAAATTGATTTTAAATTTTAAAAATCGATTTTTAATTTTATAAATTGATTTTTGATTTTATAAATCGATTTTAAAAATCGGTTTTCAAGATTTTTTTTTATAAAAGAAACCAATTTTTGCTCAGTTGGGAAATCCTTAAATAAAAAAGAAAAGTTAGAAAAAAAAACTATGAGAGTTTTTATAAACAATTAATATAAATTGCCTTGATTACTAATGGAATCTACTTTCATGTATATATAAATATTCCCCTAAGTAAATGTAACCATTTCTCAGGCATGACAGCTGCGCTTAAAGATTTGTCCCTCCTTCGTTCCTTTAATTAAAACAATTTGTGCCGATGAATTGATTTCAATTATTTGTGTCCTGTGGTCCTGTCATCGCTCATCCTCCCCCCCTTGATTTTGGGTTTTACAAATGGATTTCTTGTGTTTTCTCTGGCTAAAAACAATATTGAAAGGTGAACAGGTGTTGCCAATGGGTGGAGGAATGCCAAAGAGGGAAGAGACAGGTGGCAGAAATTTGTCAAAAATTAAATAACCAAAATCTTGCTTTGATTTTTAAATTTTTACTTTATAAAAAGACAATTTTTCTTAGAATCTTAATAAAAATAAATAAATAAATGATGATAATAAGACTTTAAAATTTTCAAAAATATTTAATTATGCAATACAATCAATCTATTTTAAATGTCTTTCCTATTTTTTCTAACTAATATCGAAACTATCGATTTTTATGGTATATATACATCGATAACTCTTGGCTTTCTTAAGCGATTCGATTCACTTTCAACACCTTTTGAGCTGATTTTATTTAATTAAGAACTTAAGAACTTCAAATTAAATTTTAACTGTATTAAATTTCCGAAACTTGTAAATAAATCTGTTAAAAAATATAACAATTAATAATCAATAAATATATATATTTTCTCATGCTTAAACCTTGTTGCCTTGTCGCTGTTATTTTCACGCCCACAGACAGTTACGGATCATTAATTTTATCCTTGGGGAAAATTCTTTTCCCCATGCTTTTCCCACGGGGGTGAGGGGGGCGGAAAGGTGTGTACCAAGCACACATACATACATGTGTACACACGATTCACGTGTTAACGAGTTGGAAAAATTATTATTACATTATTATTTTCGCCGGCGAGTGATTCAGCAGACCAAACAGAGCAAACGCCACAAGGTGCAGGTTCCCCCCTCATCCATATATTTATATATATATATAGATATATATTTTTTTCTGTGCACGGGAGCTTACAATAACAATAAATTTCAATTTTTCACACACAAAGAAACGTAGTAGAGCGGCTGCATTCATGGGAATAGCGAGCGCTCCTTGCTAGATTCGTCCTTTTGCCTTGGGTTCCAGGACATGGCAACCCTTGAGCAGCTTGCGCTCAGCAATTTATGCGCTTTACGCGCTTTTGCTAAATAAATTTATAATGCCAACACACACACACGCCAAAGGGGGAGGAAAGGGGGGTTCATAAAAAATAAACTAGATATAACGACTTGAAGATACTTTGTTTGGGGATTATTTTAATAGGTAAATGATTAATTCTAATTCAAGTATATTCCAAAAAAGAATATATAATAAATCTATATTCCACAATTTCTACATATTTATAAAATTTTAAAAATTAAAATCTCTAAAATATATAAGCCTAGCCACCTAAACCCTTAATTCCAGGGTATCATTTGGCAAAGAAAGACAGACAGACAGAGTTTTTGGAAGTTACACAGTTACAGTTGCATAGACAGAGAGAGATAGAGATAGAAAAGAGAGAGAGAGAGAGAAAGAGAGAGAAGTAAGGTGCTGTACCCCCCCAGAAAAACTTTGGACGAATTTTAGAGCGTTTTGTCTTGGTTTACTGCGGCTCTGTCCAGGTACAGTAAGCCCCCCAGCCATGTATATACCCTTCACAAGTAACCACTGTACGGTATACCCAGGCTTCACTGTTTCACGGTTTTGTGCTACTTTAGATACATTTGTATCTGCGATAAGTTTACGCCATGCGGTTCCACACTTGCTGCGTAGAATTTTCTTGCAATTAAAATTTGTTGCCTTCTCTGGGTATCATAATTTTATAAGTTTTGCATATGGAACTGGGTAGGGGGAAGCTCTCCGAGTCGAGTCGTCTCCTAACAAATTGCTTAAAGCTTTGTGCATATGCTAAATACTCGTTTGTACATATATGCTTTTCCTCTTTTTTGGTGGGGAAATTAGTGAAATATTGTGGCCAACGTTTGTTTTACAATCTTCTTGCTTTTTGAACTGGTTTTTGGGTGGAAATTGGAGAGTTTAAAAGGGGGAAAATTAATGGGTTTTAGGGTTTGAATTATATTTAAGGTGTGCAAGAAATTTAAGCACCTTTGGTTAGGAAATAAGAAAGTTATTAAGCTTTAAAGTCATAGTTTTGTATTCCAAACCTAAGCAACATGTAGCTCAACTTGATCTTAGCAACATTTTGCTAGCAACACAAGCTTTCTTACTTGTTAAACTAGGTAAAAAAGCAGGCTTTTCTATTTAATTTAATTTATTTTTCAGCTTTACATAATAATTTTTGCCTAGGAAACATAAATGTCAGCAAAATTTCAAAGAAAAAAATCTATAAAATGCGTAAGGTAAGTTGAGTTCAATTATTATATTTTATGTTTTATTAAATTCTTAAATATTTAGCAACTGGCACAAATCACTTTTCATGGCATTTCCCTGACACTTCTCAACTTTGTGGTTCAGGAGACAATACGATATCGCAGATCGTAAGAAACCTAGGAATTCCCAACACAAATCCGGTTGTCGATCATCCAATTTTAAAAAAACCACAATTTTTCAATTCTGCTTCTGTGGAAAAACTTGATGGCATTTCATTAATCCGAGATTTTAGCATGGCTTTGCGGCTGCCGCTGCTCTCTGCAGCACTTTATGAAATTCTAATAGGTGTGCGGCATGTGTCCAGATTAGTTCCATATATATATATATATCTATATATAGGGAAAGGTATATACGTACATATGGGCACCTCGCAGACTTTGGGTCAGCTTAAAAGCTTCCGTTGCAGGCCACACCTGTGGCCTCTAATGCGACCGGCGGCAGGAATACACTGAGGGAAATATATATTCAACAATTGAGATGGTAAAATGCTGATCAAATTTCAATTTATATAATTTAAGAGCCATTCTGACTTGTAACAGATGATTTTGTAAAGATTTTTAAGGACAAAATTAAAAGAATATCTTACGCATTTTATGTATATTTTTTTTAAATATTTTTTAAATATATTTTATATACTTTTTTTATATTTATTTATATATATTTAATTTATATATATTTTATATATATTTCAGATATTTATTTATATATTTTTATCATTTTTACAATTTTTTACAGTGCACACACCGACTGGAGTTTGCTCTTATATGCAAATGCCTTCATGTTAATGCCACAAATACGCCTAAAATTATGTTAAGCGCTTGCCAGCTTCGCTTTCGGTCCTCTGCATTCCAGGATAAGGAGAGAGAGTGAGTACAAGGACGAGGATGAGAAGCAGGAGCAAGGACTATAGCAAAGGCAAAGGGTCCTGGCTTCAACAGAACACGTTGATGGCTTAGGCTCATTTATAAATCGGCGACAGTAAATTATAAATGGAATTACTATTAGGACTGACAAAGACGATGGGAATGTGCTTCTCGTTCACATGAGAACGAGAACGAGAAGGAAATACCCATTGTCTAGTTATCATTCCCTTTCTCGGGATCGTTCTCGTTCTCGCTCTTGTTCTAGTTATCGTTATTTTCCAATTTTTTTTTGGCCATTATGTAGTTTACAAGTTTAAAAATTACATAAAATATTCATTTTAATTGTTTTCTTAAAAAAATAAATTGAAATAAAAACAAAAACACATACAAATATATTTTTTACAAGTGCTCATCCATAATTATGAACTTCTAAACTTATTTTTTGTTTAAATTAAATTATAAACCTTAATTGGAATATACATTTCCCCAGAAAAATATCCATATACCATTTCCAAACCCTATACTCCATTTTTAATAAAGACTCCCATACATTATCCGAAAAGAAACGTGGTAAAAACTAGAGACAAACACATGACTGTGTGTGTTGCCAGTATATTAAAGTTCAAAAAGGCAACGACAGAATGACTTAGAGAACGCAATCCTTCGCTTTTGCTCCAGAAAATGGAGTTGTGGTGTCCAAGGAGAGGGGGGGGGGCCTGTAATAGGGACTGGCACATTCCATGTGGGCGTCTGGGCGAAAGTTGAACAACGCCAAAAGCCTAAGGATGACAACATGGCCGAAAAAAAGAGCTCAAAGAAACGCAAAAACGAACTGAAAACGAGCAAAAATAAGGGCTCAGCAGGAGCAGGAGATGCCGAAGCCAAGGAAGTGGGATCCAGGACATTGGCATGTTTGGGATCAAAAAAATAAACCAAAAAAAATAAAAAACAAGAAAAAAAAACTGAAAAAAGAAACATGTTTCCAAACCCATGGAGGAATTAGTGCCCGAAGCGTGTCAAAAATATATGTATTTTTATACATTTTTATTAGTGATAAATTATAAAATTTATTTTGGAAAAATATTAAGAAATATGAAATGAAATCATTTATTAATTTTAAAATATATATTTATATAGAATTACTTCGGATAAATCATAAAAATTGTTTATTGAATATTTGCTGCAATTTATAAAGTGAAAGATAGGCTAATTTTAAAATTAAGCTAAAATTTAAGTTACCGTTTATGAATTATTCGAATATTATTTTAAAATAATTTATTATATATGATTTTACAAACTTTTTATTAAAAAGTCATAAAATTTCTTTGCGAAAAATATTCCAAAATAAAAAAAACCTGAGTTAAGCTATTTTAAGATTATTTCGAAATTTTTTAATAGCTTAAAATATTTATTTTAATATTATTTTCACCGTTTTTTAGTCAAAAAAAATGTATATTTTAAAAACTAGTTCATTATTAACTAATTTAAAATATACATTTCTAAATTTCACTCACGCTGCCATCGCTGAGAAAACTGTGAGCGGTTTCAGCGCGGATTTGCGCTTAGTTGAGAACTAGAGAAAAAGACGAAAAGCCTCGCGAGTTTTGCCATTTTCCGACTTCTCCGTCTGGCCAAGCCCCAAACTCAAGCCCCCTCCTATTTTCCAGCTGGAGCTCTCCTCATACGAAACGACGACGACATGGTCGGATGGCTTAGGAAGTAATTTTAGCATTGTAAATCCTTTTGGAAAATTATAGCGACAGTCAGCTTGTAGTTAGTGGCAGCTGCCAGGGCTTCGGGTGGGGAGGGGGATAAAGCAAGGACACATATGGCTGACTAACGTAGATGGAAACGTAGACAGGGCTATCATAAGATCAGGCACACACAAATTGTGTTAGCTTCTCCAAAATGCACAAAAATTGTGCAAAACACGGGTGGCGGCGGCGGGCACACAAACAATTTGAGATAGAGATGGAAATTGTTAGATATGCCATAGATATATATGTATAGTATAGGTACACAGTAAGAAATTATATTGAAATATAGGAAAAAGCTTTAGTAGTTTGGATTTTATATGGTAATTATTAGTTATATATTTTTGTGAATTTACAAAAATAGTTCCACTCTTAAAATTTGTGGAATTAAATTAAATAAAATTAAAATTTATATTAATATTATATTATATTAATTTAAATTAAATTAATTTAAATTAATTTAAATTAAAAGTTATTAATTATGGTTATTAATTAATTACTTAATTTTTTTTAGAATTATTTATTATTTTATTTAATTAATCCACCTTTTTATACCCTTGCAGGGTAATTTAATTTTAATGAGAAGTTTGCAACGCAGTGAAGGAGTCAAAAAGATCTGTAAATGAATTACTCTGTTAAATTTATTTCCAGTTTTAGTTTACAGCCAGGAAATCAAAGCAAAGAGCGCCAGAAACATCCAATCCACAAATGTGGATCGTATTCTCTCTCTTCTGCGAGAGAGGTTTCTTTTCGTTTGCTTTTACATGTAATTTCAAGCGCAAGAATCAGAAACACAAAGCCTAACACGAAAAAGCCGAGGTAAAGAACTGAGAGCGAGAGAGAGAGCAAATGATGCTGCGTGTGCCAAATAACGGTGCATAAGAAAATATGCAAAAGGCAATGACGGAGAGCGAAATCAAATAAAAAACTAAATAATATACGAAAAAAGCAATGTATGACTGTACTCACTCGGTATTTTGTAAATTCCTCTGTAAATCGTAATTCCATTTCACTTTTTACATCAGTTTATAAGCAAAAACACAAAACAGCAAACAAAAAACAAACACTTATTGGCTGTGCAGTCCGAGCGTAGATTTTCCCGGTTTTCACTCGGATTTTCGCGCAGAAAAGAGTTGCCGATCCTTCCGGAGGGATAGTTTTCCCGACGGGATGACGTTATCCCATTTTTCCGAACGTTTTTCAATGTTTTTTAACGTTTTTCCTGCGTTTTCACAGGAGCCACGTGTTTTTCGACCGATCCTTGCGAAATGAATGAATGGCGGAATAGAAAAGGACGCCGAAATAAACGGAAAGCTAAGAGCGGAGAGAAAGAGAGAGAGAGAGTTGACACTCTCTTTGAGCTTGTGGACGATATTGGAGAGGCCAAGAAACAAATGGCATCCACTTCCAATACAAAGTTAATTGTCCAATTTCCACGATCCGCTTTATTTAAATTTTTAATTGTGGCTGAGTTTCAATTGGAAAAGGCACAAAATTAAATATTTTCATTTTTGAATTGGGGGAATCGGATATTTATGATCCAATTACAAACTGCAAGGGTATACAAACTTCGGCGTGCCGAAATTAGTTTCCTTTTTTGTTAAGTATAATTTTCTCAATTGTAAAACGCATTCCAAAATAATTCTCTTATAGTTTTAATAATTTTTGTTGTTAAAATAAATAAATAACTAAAATATTTCGTTTTTTAAATTAATTTAAGCTAATAAAAATTTAATTTATTTAAACAAAATTTTTATAAATATAAAAGTGCATTCTGAGGGCTTTTTTATGGCTGGGAAACCACGACAAGGACGACTGTGGAGCGCGAAAATATTCATATGACATTTTGGTGGAGGCCAGAAGTGGCAGTGGAGGAGCCAGTGAAGGAGCCAAAGCCAAAGCCAAAGGAAGAAGTGGCAGCCCAAAGCCAGAGATGAAGCCCGAGATGAAACCGGAGTCGAAACTGGGAAAACTCGGGTAACTAGAGGTGGAGCTGGAGCTGGAGATGGAGACAGCGACTGGAGCAGATGCAGCTGGATGGGGATGGCCGTCGGGTGAAAGTGGGCAAAGTGAGTCACATAAATCTCGCCGGCTGGAAAAAAAAAATAATGCAAAAGGAAAACACAAAAGAGACAAGTTCCAAAAAAAGATCTAAGGCACTTTTATGGTTATTGTACTCTTAAAAAATGTACAAAAAATATATAACATGCATTAAAATTAATAGAAATTAGTAAAGTTATTACAGAGTTTTGTATATTTATATTTATATATTATTTAAAATAAAATTAATAATTTTTAAAAATATTTTCAGCAATCCTGAGGCTCTTATTTAATTTATTTATATTTTTATCAATTGATTTTCTTAGGTATTTTATTTGTTTCTATTTTAAGAATATTTCAGGTTCTTATATTTATTTTTATTTCTAAAATATATAAAAATCATTAAAATTATAAGAATATTATTTTAAGATTTCAGAGTTTTAATATATAATATTTTAGAGAAAAAATTCTCTTCAGAATAATAGAAAATAAAAATTTATAAAAATATTTCCAGGAATCCTGAACAAATATTCATGACTAGAGACTCCTATTTTATTTATTTATATTTTTATACCCTTGCAGGGTATTATAATTTCAGTCAGAAGTTTGCAACGCAGTGAAGGAGACGTTTCCGACCCTAAAAAGTATATATATTCTTGATCAGCATCAACAGCCGAGTCGATCTAGCCATGTCCGTCTGTCCGTCTGTCCGTCTGTCCGTCTGTCCACCTGTCCGTTTCTACGCAAACTAGTCCCTCAGTTTAAAAGCTATCTGAATGAAACTTTGCATATAGTCTTCTATATACTCTCACTGCTATATATGTCGGAACGGGCCGGATCGGACGACTATATCATATAGCTGCCATACAAATGTCCGATAAATTTTTAGAAAAAAAATTATAACTTTGCTGTTTTTCAATATTTTTGCACCA